AGAGGCCCCGCCCCCGGCCCCGCCCCGAGCCGCAAACTGGTGCCCGCGCCGCGCGCTTGGGCAGACAGGTGGAGGAGAGCTGAGCTGTCCACCGCGTTCCGTGCTACGCTCCGGGCCCCGCCATGGGCAACCGCGCGGGCCGCTCCGACTTCGAGTGGGTCTACACCGACCAGCCGCACACGCAGCGGCGCAAAGAGATGCTCGGTGAGCGCGGCCCGGCCCCTGCCGCGGGTGGGGACAGCCCCGCGGGGCCGTCGCGAGGCGCGGGCCAGCCCGAGCCCGGCGGTCGCTCTTGCGCCGGCCCCGGTGCCCAGCGGGCACTCCTCGGCCCCTGCTTCAGGGAGGGTGGGAGCGCCACTCTTTCCCCCCGCCAGGGGTCCTCGGCCCGGGTGCCCGAGGGTCTCCCACGCCCGGGTCTGAAACTCCTCTCGCGTCTTTGCCTCCGTCCTGGGGTCCGGGATTCGAGGACCCGAGCCCGGATCCGCGCACCTGGGGAGCGCACCTCAGCTGCAGCATCCTGGTGGTGGACCGCGAGCCAGTCGTGGGGCGGGGACCGGGCGCGAACTCGAGGCGCGGGGTCCGTCCCCAGGGGACCGTCTGTGTACGGGATACACCTTAAGAAAAAAACCCACAAAGATTATGCCAAAGAATGCCTTTTGTCCATTCTGCCCCGTATTTTATAGCTTAATACATGGTGGCCGCCCCTCTCTCATTTAGTGTCCTGCGAAGTCGAAGTCGTTTTTACCAGCGTAGTTGTGGTCAGTCAAGCCAGTAGCTCCTATTAGACCAGGGATGTACAGTCTCTTTCCTGGGCACTACGGGTAAAAGGGCTCGCACCTCCAGAACAGTTTCTACTGGGTGCCACCAAATCGCCCCACAGTGCCAGGCCGACTTCCAGCAGCATGGACATGCTACCCTCCCTCCCAAGAAATGGCCAGGCCCTGGTTTCCACACTCCCTCGCCTACACCTGGGGTTGGCAAACCTTTTAATCAGGTTGACTAGGTGACATGTGCTATTTCATTGTGTTTAATTTGCAGTTTTGGGATGATTGTTTCCAAAGTTGAATTGGCCACTTCAATTTTTTCTTTTTTCTCTTGGGTTCATCTCTTGCTTGTTGATTGTTAGAGCTCTTTGTACAGCAGGGTTTTAACTATTTGTCTTACATGTTGCAAATATATTCCCCTTGTCTTTTGCTCTCACAGAAGCTTTTCTTTCTTTTTTTTTTTTATGCATTCAAATGGATTAGGTTTTTCTTTAGAAGTTTTCCCTTTGGTGTCTTCCTGCTCCACTCCAAGACTATGAAATATCCATCCTATTACTTTTAAGGTTTTCAGATACCGGATGTACTGCGTGGTTCATGCAGGGCTGTTCTCCGCTGTGGCTGCCCCCTGGCTGGAGATGGCTGGCGGGGGGGGGAGTTCGTGTCTTCGGTGGCTTTCTGCTGTGAGGTGAATAATAACCGAGCACTGCTGTGGTCTGACCTGTGGCAGCATCCTCCCCTATACTTGTGAACCTCTTGGGGTGGCTCAGAGGGGTCTTGGTGATCATCTGGTCCTGCCTCTCCCTAGAGGGCAGGTGTCTTGGCTGCTCCCCTCAGCAGGGCTGAGGCAGGGCTCCATTTCCTTCCCCTCCCCTGGCAGCCCCCCACCTTGCTGTTACAGGACTCACTGGCACCTGGCCCCAGGTGGAGAAGGCTGGAGACTTACCCTGCCCCGCAGAGGGGTCCAGACCCTCTGGGCGGCAGACTCACTTTCTGAATCTGCAAAATGGGCACAGTCATCCTGTTTGGCAGAGAGGGTGCGATGTTAAAAGGACATCTTGGATGTTAAAAGGTGCCCAGTGTGGTACCCAGCACTCCAGGACATGGAGAAAAGGATCTGTCTCTGAAGAGAGAAGCCACAGGCCCCAAAACCAATAGGGGAAGCTTCCTGGAACGGGGTGGCACGGAAGGCTGGAAGGCTTGGAGGAGAGGAGGTGATTTGGGCACCAGGTCTCAGGGGCCGACCCTCCAGGGACCTTTAGCTCATTTCCAGTTTCCACTGGGTACTGTGGATTCCTCCGGTCACGTCTGGTTTTGAACTCATGAACTTGACATGTGCCATTTTCCCTCACTCCCCGGCATTTGACAGCCTTTGCCCTGCCTGGATGTCCTTCCTTCCCGCTCTGCCCCTCTGGCTCTCTTTGGAGTTTTGTTTTGTTTTGTTTTGTTTTAAATTTTATTGAAGTATAATTGCCATGCAGTATTATGTTAGTAAGTTTCAGGTATAAATCTAGTTACCATTTTTCACAGTACAAAAGTTACTGTGATTTCATGGACTACAGTTCCCTTGATGTACGTGACATGCCTGTCACTTACTTATTTTGTAAATGGAAGTTTGTACTTGATCCCCTGCACCCATCCCTCCGTGTCCCTCCCCCTCTGGCAACCACCAATCTGGGTTGGCTTGGTTTTGTCTTTTGAGTCTGGGTTTGGTTTGGTTTTGTCTTTTAGATTCCACATGTGAGTGGAATGATGCAGTATTTGTCTGTGTCTGTCTGACTGACTTCACTTCGCACAATATCCTCAGGGTCCACCCAAGTTGTTGCAAAATTCCATTTTTTTCTATGGTTGAGTAATTTTTGATTGTGTATATCCCTCATCTTCTTCATCCACGCGTCTGTTGATGGACACTTAAGTTGCTTCCATATCTTAGCTCTTGTACATAATGCGGCAGGGAACAGGGGGGGTGCATATATCTTTTTGAATTTGTGTTCTCGTTTTCTTTGGATAAACACCAAGCCATGGAATTGCTGGATCAATATTTTGAAGAACCTCCATACTGCTTTCCAGAGTGCCTGCACCAGTTTTCATTCCCACCGACAGTGCACGAGAGTTCCCCTTTCTCTGCATCCTCGCCAACACCTGTTACTTATGTTGATTTTAGCCATTCTGACAGGTGTAAGGTGATACCGCATTGTAGTTTTGATTTGTATTTCCCTGATGATGAGTGATGTTGAGCATCTTTCCAAGTGCCGGTTGTTCATTGGTATGTCTTCCATGTAAGAATGTCTATTCAAGTTTTAGTCAAATTTTTGTTGGTTTGCTATTGAGTTGTATGAGTTCTTTATAGACTTCGGATGTTATCCCCTTATTGGGTATGTGATTTGTCAGTATCTTCTCCCATTCCATGGGCTGCCTTTTTGTTTTGTTGATGGTTTCCTTCACTGTGCAAAAGTTTTTTAGTTTGATGCAGTCATATTTGTTTTATTTTCATTTATGTTGCCTTTACTTCCAGTGTGAAATCCAAAAAGATTATCACCAAGACTGATGTCAAGGAGCTTACCGCCTGAAGATTTTGGCTTTCCTGTCTTACATTCAAGTCTTCAATCCATTTTGAGTTTATTTTTGTGTGTGGTGTGAGAAAGCGGTCCAGCTGTATTCTGCACATAGCCGTTCAGTTTCCCCAACACCATTTGTCGAAGAGACTGTCTTTTGCTCATTGCATATTCCTGCCTTCTTTGTTGTAAATTGATTGACCATATGCATGTCAGTTTATTTCTGGGCTCCCTATTCTGTTCCATTGATCTCTGGGTTTATTTTTATGCTAGCTTACGCTGTTTTTTGGTTACTTCAGCTTTGTAGTACATAGGTTGAAATCCAGGAACGCGATACCTCTGACTTTGTTTTTTTTCACAAGGTTGCTTTGGTTATTCATGGTCTTTTGCGGTTCCATAGACATTTTAGAATTATTTGTTTTAGCTATCTGACAAATGCTGTTGAAATTTTATTAGGGCTCTCGCTCAGTCCCATTTCCTGCAGGAAGGCCCCCTGACTACCCTCCTGGCCTTTGGCCTCCGCTGGGGGAGGACATTCCTCTGGGCTTTCCCTCTACGGCTCCGACCCATCAAGGTTCTTACCAATGTGGGGAAGCGGATTTCGGGGATCTAGACCTTGGCCGTGGAGCTCATCTCCTGGCAGGCACCTCAACACTCCTCACGCATTAGCCGTGTGACCCTGGGCAGGTCAGTCATCAGATGAGCAAATAGAGGCTTGGTTGAGTTAAAAGGGGTTATTATTCCTTACAGAGTTGTGCAGATTAAATGAGGTAATGTTAAGTGCTTAGCTCGCAATAAATGTTAGCTCCGATGATAATTACTACCTCGGCACACAGGCCCAAGTTCTCCCCAAGGACAGGGAATGCCTTTCCGCCTCTGCTTTCTGGCCGTCTGTGCCATTCGCAGCCCGAGAGAAATTCTGCGTGTTAACTGCCAGTACCTTTTTATTTTTTATTTTTTTTATTTATTTATTTATTTTTTTTATATTTTTTTTATTTTTTTTTTTTTATTTTTTTTAGCCAGTACCTTTTTAGAGAAGAGGCAGCCAGGGGCGGCTCAGAGAGGGGAAGCGACCTGTGTGGGGCTGCACAGGCCGGAGGCTGCCGAGGCCAGGCTGGTGTGCAGGGAACTTGCTTGAGGATGTGCTCCAGCCCCAGCAGGCCACTCCTGCAGCTCCTGCCAAGCCCCCAGGAGCCAATGGATGCTCAATAAAGATCCTAATCTGGGAGGGAGTCAGAACCCAGGGGGAGGCCCTTGCGCCTACCTGGCCGCACCTCTCTCGGGGGCAGAACCGAAGTCCATCTCCAGCTCCTGCCTAACTGGGGACAGGCTCCCCAGGGCACAGTGTCCCATGGGCAAATGCAGTCCCACGCAGCCCCTAAGAGCCACATCTCCCAGGCCACGGCTGAGCCTCCCTGTACTTTGAAGGCAGGAACAGAGCCCGCAGGACTGTGATCCCACGGTAGACCAGAGGCCAAGCCAGGCGTGGCCGCGGAAAGAAGCAGACTTTGGGTTTGTCTTTAAAAACAAATAGCTTTGTGATTTTTTTTTTCTTATGAAAACAGGGCACAAACATGGTAAAACAAAACAAAACAAAACGAAACACAAATTCAAATAATCAAAGGAAAACAAAAGAGGAAACAAGGAAGTAAGACTCTTGGCAGTTGGGTTATTTGCATAGGAAAGGCCCCTGCTGGGGCGTTTCTCAGGGGCTGGGTGGTAAAATCCAGAACAGAACTGGCTGAAGCCCTCAGGGGAATTCGTGGACTCTCCCCACCCAACCGTGGAGATGCCAGCTCGAGGGGTGGGGAGCGGGCGGGCCATTCTCTCCGCACCCCACGTCCCTGCCCCAGGAGGCAGCTGCGCCTCCTCCCCTTCCAGGGGGCTG